CTGGGACACATTTCCGTTTTATACTTTTTGTTTTGTTTTGTTTTTGTTTTTGTTTTTCGAGACAGGGTTTCTCTGTGTAGCTTTGGAGCCTATCCTGGCACTCGCTCTGGAGACCAGGCTGACCTCAAACTCAGAGATCCACCTGCCTCTGCCTCCGGAGTGCTGGGATTAAAAGCATGCATCACCGACGCCCGGCTCACATTTCCGTTTTATATACAGGCATAGTTTTCACACGATGTGGCCTGCAGCCTGTATTTCAGTAGGATGTGTTACAGGCATGTCTGTGGTTTGCATGTGAAGTGTCTCCCACTTGGTGCTCACCAGCAGTATGGTTTTGAGAGACTGTGGAGCCTTTGACGTGAGGTCTAGCAGGCAGCTGTAAGGCCATGGGATTAGGGTTTAAGGATTCTATGCCAGCTCCAATTTTACCCTACGTAGAATTCCTGATCCACTGAGATGTGAGCAGGCTACCTCACACATGAGCTATCAGGAAGCCCACATGCCTTCCCCTCCATGATGGACCTAAAGCCAAAGTAAAGCCTTATTCTCTTGAGTTGCTTGCTACAGGTCATCTGTCACATTAGTGGAAATGCTAGTAACAGACTCTCTTCCCGCATGCCACATTGCTGATTTACATTTGATACAACTTAGCCCATTTCTCTATTGTGGGACACAATCTTTTGTTAACGCCCCAAGCTTGCCCATATGCTCCTTCTGTGCTTGCTTCTTGTGTCCCAGGAGTTAATTTGTTCAATAGTTATCACAAAGATGCTGTCTCTGTGAATACTCAGCACGGTGCCTGCCCTCCTTAAAGTCTGAATACACAGCACAGCGCTTGCCCTCTATAAAGTCTGTGTGAGGGCTAGAGAGATGGCTCAGAGGTTAGGAGCACTGACTGCTCTTCCGCTTGCCCTCTATAAAGTCTGTGTGAGGGCTGGAGAGATGGCTCAGAGGTTAGGAGCACTGACTGCTCTTCCAGAGGACCTGAGTTCAATTCCCAGCAACCACATAGTGACTCACAACCATCCCTTATGAGATCTGGTGCCCTCTTCTGGTGTGCAGATATACATGGAAGCAGAATGTTGTATACATAATAAATAAGTAAAATTAAAAAAAAAGTCTGTGTGAACACGCATCTGGTAATTGACATTTTTCTAGGCTCAGTGTTCTATGAGCCTCTGTCACAACAGTTTGTAAATCAATACATAACAACAATCAACCCATTTTACATGCTACAGTTAAAACACTCAGTACACATTCTGCTGCATTAATACTGTTAGGTGTATTTTTCCATCAGTCGCAGCAGACTCTAGACAACACACCATTGCTGTGCCTGGGGGAGGAGCAGTTCAGTAGGCGGCAATTCAGCCTACACAGGGTGCCTGTAATCCCAGCACTCGGGAGGCAGAGGCAGGCGCATCTCTGTGAGTTCGAGGCCAGCCTGGTCTACGAAGAAAATTCCAGGACAGTCTCTTAAACCTACAGAGAAACCCTGTTTCAAAAAACCAAAAGAAAGAAAGGATGAAAGGAAGGAAGAAAAAGAAATGAGAGGCTGGTGGACCCGGTTTAGTCTCTGCTGGGAATGTGTCTGCAGCAGCTCAGACTTTTCTCTGTGCTGCTCATGGCCTGTCCTCAGGTGACTGTCAGAACCCCAGTGCTGGTTTTTAGGGTCACCGTTTTCTGCAGGTGTCGTGGATCCCCTGTGGGTCTTGTGAGATACCTCCACACACTTGAACCATCTTCACATCCTCTCGAGTCCATGCAGCTCAGCCGCAGACTCCAACAAAAACTAAGATGCTAGAATTGCAAATGTAGAAATCTCGAAAGAAAAACAAGTACCTAGGTGTGTTGCTGCTGTTGGAGGACTTGACTGTGTCACTGTTGCTGCTGTTGGAGGACTTGACTGTGTCACTGTTGCTGCTGTTGGAGGAATTGACTGTGTCACTGTTGCTGCTGTTGGAGGAATTGACTGTGTCACTGTTGCTGCTGTTGGAGGAATTGACTGTGTCACTGTTGCTGCTGTTGGAGGACTTGACCATGTCACTGTTGCTGCTGTTGGAGGACTTGACCATGTCACTGTTGCTGCTGTTGGAGGACTTGACCGTGTCACTGTTACTGCTGTTGGAGGACTTGACCGTGTCACTGTTGCTGCTGTTAGAGGACTTGACTGTGTCACTGTTGCTGCTGTTAGAGGACTTGACTGTGTCACTGTTGCTGCTGTTAGAGGACTTGACTGTGTCACTGTTGCTGCTGTTAGAGGACTTGACTGTGTCACTGTTGCTGCTGTTAGAGGACTTGACTGTGTCACTGTTGCTGCTGTTAGAGGACTTGACTGTGTCACTGTTGCTGCTGTTAGAGGACTTGACTGTGTCACTGTTGCTGCTGTTAGAGGACTTGACTGTGTCACTGTTGCTGCTGTTAGAGGACTTGACTGTGTCACTGTTGCTGCTGTTAGAGGACTTGACTGTGTCACTGTTGCTGCTGTTAGAGGACTTGACCGTGTCACTGTTGCTGCTGTTGGAGGACTTGACCGTGTCACTGTTACTGCTGTTGGAGGACTTGACCGTGTCACTGTTCCCATCCCAAATTCTCCCTGGGATGCCCAAGTCATTTTCTCCCTTACTGCTCACCTGCAGGCAGTATAGTGTGGGCCTTCTAATTACCCCGTGGTCAAGTCTGGGCACTGGGCATATTTCTGGGGATCAGGACTTCAGAAGGTTTCGCCTCCTGGAGAGTTATGCTTCCGGGCTTCTGTTGGAAAGATGGAGATACTGGCTCTTTAGGTGATGCTCACAAATGAGAGTGGTTTTTAGGCGAGTTGAGATGATGATAGTGTAGCTCCCCAAATCTACAGAAGCCATGTTCACCTACTGACGTATGTCTTCATCTCCAAGTAAGGCTGGTCCCTCCAGCCCGGGCAAGAGGCCTCTGCTCACAGTGTGGGTTTGTGTTAGAAGTAGTGTCTCTGACATGGGCTGTGCGTGTGTTTGTGTTTGCAATCACGATTAAAAGTTCAAGTGAAGCAATTCTTACTCGGATTGGAAAGTATGTGGTGGTATGCCAAAGCTTAAATAGTGATCTAGAACAGAGGTGCTAAAGGTTACAGTGGGGTCTGGAACATAGGTGCTGAAGTTTAAATAGGGAGCTAGACCGTAGATGATTAACAGAGTGAAATCACGGAAAGTGGGGGGGGGGGCACTGAGGACAGTGGGTCATTGCAGTCACAGAGGATGTGAGCTCTGGGGACCCACTATTAGGCCATACTGTGTCTAGAGGTAACTCCTCTATCATGTACTTAAAACTGAGACATCAGCCTGGAACTAGAGCCTGAGGGCTCCTTTCCTGTGGTGCATTTCTTTGGAAGGAAAGGATTTCAGTGAGATCCAGAGCTTTCTCAAGATTAAGGTTTTTAATGGAAAATAATAAAATGTTATTAACTAGTCTTCAATTCAGAATCTTTAATTTAACAAAGGAGTATGTAATGTCTGATCTAAATTTTGTCCAAAGACATAATACCAAGAGTTATATTTTTGGTGAATGGGGGGTTCACAGAACAGGGTATCTGGTGGATGAGATGTTTAGTGAATGGAGTGTCAGATGAACAGGGGGCATCTGGTGAACAGGGGTGTCTGGTGGGTGGGGTGTCTGGTGGGTTGGGGTGTCTGGTGAACAGGGGTGTCTGGTGAACAGGGGTGTCTGGTGAACAGGGGTGTCTGGTGGGTGGGGGTGTCTGGTGGGTGGGGTGTCTGGTGGGTGGGGTGTCTGGTGGGTGGGGGTGTCTGGTGGGTGGGGTGTCTGGTGAACTGGTTGTCTGGTGGACGGGTATCTGGTAAGAAGGGAGCTGTGTCCTGTCAGGACTCCTGTCTCCATTCCTCAGTCATCTCAGAATGATGATGTGACTGTATATCTAACAGGCATTTGCCAGCTAGTGAAGGCATCAGGAAGTGTGCTGAGGAACTTGCTGAAGTCCATGGACTTCTTTGTTTCTGTGGGATGTGATCTCTACCCCTGCCCTGGCTGTTAACATCTCACAGGGCACCATAGAGGGCTGGGCCAGCATTCTGGGAAGTTAGCATCAGGAGCTCCCATCCTTTTGTGCTGACAGAAAGTTGCTTTGGCGCCCTGGAGTCTTGGTTCTCTTCACTTGTCCACCACAGGCCTTAAGGCCTCATGAGAATGCACACGGGACAAGAAAAGACTTTAGTGTTTTGTGTAAGATTTTTAATGTTGTCGGGGCTGGAGAGATGGCTCAGAGGTTAAGAGCACTGTCTGCTCTTCCAGAGGTCCTGAGTTCAATTCCCAGCAACCACATGGTGGCTCACAACCATCCGTAATGAGATCTGGTGCCCTCTTCTGGTCTGCAGGGGTACATGAGAAGGGACGATTAAGTTAAGTCTTCTGATTGGCACATAGTGTGGCCACATTGTTTTCAAAGGACTGGGTAAACAGTGAATACTGGGAAGGGCATGTTTTATATTGTTGAGGTAGCTCTTCTGACTTAATGAAATCAAGAAACCAGCTGTGAGAAAAAGACAGACATGTATGAGGGGACAATCTCCTTCAGCCCGGTGTCCATAGCCCTGGTCTCAGCAGCTCACAGAGGTCTGTGGAGGCCAGGGGAATGTGACACAAGAATGCACACTGGTCAGCAGGACAGCGCAGCAAGTGTGATTAAAACGGTTCAGTCATTTATGAGTCGCTGACACTATACTGAGGAACAAATTGAGAAGAGAGAGACAGCACCAGCATGCCATTGAGCGAGTAGACCTGGGACACAATTCAAGTTGCTTTGAGAGTAAAGCAATGCTAACAAGAGTCGGGTGGGCATGTGGTCGGAGCCACTTACCCCTAGGAGTTCTGCCCAGACTTTAACCACAGTGCGGTATTTGGTGTTGTACTGCTATAGTTCATATACTATAGGGAAGAAGTTTTCTTCATTTAAAAAGCGATGTTTTACCTTTTGTAGCTAATATAGACTCTGCCTCTCTGTGATTCCAAAGCCAGAGCCATGACCTGAAACCCCGATGACCACCGTCAGGGCCGCTGGTGACCGGCAAGTGCATCATGGAACTTAAAGTATGGGTGGACGGAGTCCAGAGGATTGTTTGTGGGGTCACTGAAGTCACAACTTGCCAGGAGGTTGTAATAGCCTTAGCCCAAGCTATAGGTAAGTAAAATCTGTCAAGTTAAACCAAACAAACAAAAAACGCAAAACGGTATTTGATCCTTGTGGGGTGTGGTAGTGCTGTGTGTGCAAAAGCTAATTTTCTGAGCATCTTGATAAAAACTCCTGAAAGTTAACTTAAGGGGTGGGGGGAGATTTGGGCTCATGGCTTCAGATGGTTCAGCCTATAGTTTCCTGGCTTAAGATGTCTGGGCAGAGCATCCAGGTCATAGGAGTGCGTGGGTGCAGAGGGGAGGGGGAGGCCTTATTTCCTTCCCAGCCGCAGCCCACCCCAGGGCCTCATCCCTGCACTGACTGTCCCCCTGGCTGCAGCTTTCTCAGAAGGTACCTCCCCAGAATTCTGGCGCCTCTGTCGCAGGTTCCCCTTCACCCTCACAGCTTCACACATTGACCTCACAGAGTGGCCTTCCTTGGGCTGTTGTGCACAGTAAGAAAACCCTGAGAGAAACACTTCTAAGGCAGCCCTACTAACATGCCTCCGTCCATAGAAAGTCCCTCAGGCGATGGAACGCCCACTCTTGAGTCTGTGAGCGATGTGGTATGGCCAGGCTCTGAGATTCTGTGAGGGCAATTCCTGTTGACACATCACACGCACATGGCTTCTGTACTGTTGACTGGCCACGCCCTTGTCCGCAGCATGCTCCTTTTCTAGTCATTGCACTGTATTTAAAGTGTGCTCAGCCTTTTCCATCCAGTTCTTACGGTGAGCCTGGCTCGGTAGCCAGCAGTGCCTGTGCCCCAGCCTCATGCCATGCTGTCCTCAGACACTCCCCACCAGATCAGTGACGCCGTCCTGTTTAAACTCCACCTTCCAGCAAGTCTCAACTATGAACAAAATGTAGACAAATTCTTTGCCACAACACAGCACAAATAAATGACTTCTAATCCAGTTCCCAACTGAGTTTTGTTCTCATCTGAAATTCCCAAGGCAAGCCTTCATTGTCCTCATTCCCTTCAGAACTCTGCTCTTCTGAACTTTTACCAAAATCCCCATTAACTCTATTTGCAGCATTCTACTGCTTTTGATTTTTCTAGCCTGTGTCTCCAAACTCTTCCAAGTTCATCCCACAAACTACTTCAAAGGCTTTAAAAACCGACCTGGTCAGACTTAACAATAGCAGTATTCTTGGCATCAGTTTTCTGTATTAGTTACTTTTACCTCGTTACTACCAGCTGCTTGACACAGAATCTTCATGTGAGTATTATTGGTTTGTTTTGTAGTTTGAGGGTATCCGTCCCATCACGGCAGGGAAGGATGTAACAGAGCTCACTTTTGGAGCCTATCCTAGTCATTGTTCTATTGCTATGAAGAGAAGCCATGACCAGGGCAGCTCTCTAAGAAAAAGCATTAACTGGGGGCTAACTTACTGGCGGGGAGCATGGCAGCATGCGGGCAGGTGCGGTGCTAGAGAAGTAGCTGAGAGCTGCAGGCAGAGGGAGACTGGGTGTGGCATGAGTTTTGGATACCTCAGTGCCTATCTTCCATGATGCAATTCCTCCAGCAAGGCCACACCTACTGTAATAAGGCCACACCTCCTAATCTTTCTCAAATAGTACCACTCCCTGGTCACCAGGCATTCAAACATATGAGCCTATGGGGGCCATTCTTTTTTAAACCACCACAGTGTCCAAGTCAAAAAAGTGACCGTAGGAAGAGGCAAGAAGTGGTCCCAAAGGACATGATCCTATGGACCAACCGCCCCCAGTTAGGCTCCATTTCCTGCGTACAGTCATAAGTCCATCGGAGGATGGATCTGTCTGTTTGGTCAGGGCCCTAATTATCACCTCTAGAAATACCAGCACAGACACCACAGGTCTGTGTGCTCCTAGCCTAGGCTCTCCCAGTCCATCCAGTGGACCTCTAACCCATGTGTGGGTACACACGTGCATTCTTTTCTGGTGGGCTTGGCTCCACAGCTCTCGGGGCACTTTCCTTTGTCACCCTTTGCCTGTGGCTTATCAGGCTGTGGTGAGGCTTGCTCTCTGACCTGCTCCACGTCCAGAGTCTGCTCTACCTGCTCCAGCTGTTTATCTTAAGTAGTGATCTTTTTAAATTATACATGTTCCCAAGTCCAGAGCAGATTCCTAGTTTCCAGAATCCCTCATGAGTTAAACCCTGCTTATTGTCGATTTCTGAATACATTTAAAATAAAGATTAAAGTGAATTAAATAGTATTTCTTTATTAAACAGAAATGTGTACTTAATTTTTTTTTAATATACTGAAGATGTTTCGTGCCATGAAGTCTGTTTCTAGCCACATTTCCTGGGTCTGTCTTCCTATTCTGTTTTAACTTCCCTTCTAATTTATTTTAAGCTTTTCTTTAAAAGTATATATTTGAAAAAGGAAAACAAATTAAAAATAAGTCTCTCTACATACACACTCATGTGCTCACACACAAACACACATAGACACACACACACACACACACACACACACACACATATACACATTTATATTACATACCTCTGTATGAAAACTTCCCATGCTAGTAGGGATTGAACTTAGAGACTCAGGAAAGATAACCAAGTGCTCTTCAGCAGACTGACCTCTGTCCCCAACGAGCTTGTTATTCCTGTTTTGAGACAGGGTACCACCAGCTTACCCAGACTGGCCTTGGACTACTCTGTACCCTAGGCAAGTCTTGAACTTACAATCCTCCTGCTTGGGCCTCCTGAGCCACCAGGCTCTGTTTAAGGTTTTATCAGAGTTTATACATACTTATTAGTTGGCTTTAGATTTTTTTGGAACACAGGGCATAAACATCTGTCGCATAAAAAACGAGTAATGCGTTCAGAGTTTCTGTTTGCACGTAAATCTATTATTTAGCAAACAGTATTAAGAGGAAGCTGCGTCCAGCACCATGCTAAGTGCTCAGTTCCTCTTTGTCCCTGCACTCCTAGTCAAAAGTTTGCATGGGAAGCATGTCAGGTCAGCTCAGGATTGAAATGGGTCACCTGTTGCCAGCGCACTTGCAGTGTGGCAGGTCTGCTAAATGCTGACTGAGATTCTTTCCTTTTCCATAGATCTGTATTAAAGCAGCGCCAGATGCCAGGCTTTCCATTAGTGAAACACCTCTCATCCAAGACCTGAGCTTAACTGTGGAAGGGGATTAAGGCATTGTCTTTTCTGCCAACACAGTCAATATTCCTTTTAAGAACCTCCCATGATGTTGAATTGAGACAAGCCAGAATTCAGCAAAGATTAAGACATCAACTAGAAATTTATCTTGAATTTTTTAAAAGTAATTTTTTATGGTTTCCTTCCTCTCTTCCTCCATTCCTCCCTCCCTCCTTTCTCATCCCAGGCCCCTCCCCCATCCACTCCTCCTTTGTTTGTATTCAGGAAAGGGCAGGACTCCCGTGGATATCAACAAACATGGCTTGTCAGGTTGCAGTAAGAGTCAGCACCTCAGCTTGTAGTAAGGCTGGGCAAGGTGACCCAGTATATGGAATAGATTCCCAAAAGCCTGGAAGAGTCCGAGACAATTCCTGCCCCCACCGTTAGGAGTCCCACAGAAGTTTTAAAGACAGGGTCTCGCTATGTAGACCAGGCTGGCCTTGACCTGTGGCAACCCTCCTGTTTCGGTCATCCAAGTACTGGGTAACAGGCACTTAATTTCCTTCTAGGTTTGACCTCTACAAAGGTCAAACCAGCTGAGTAGGTGCGGTAAGCTGCATCTTTTCATATGATAGCCACATATTCTGCAGAGAATTCCGTGGAGAAAATACCTCTTCACCAGATGTGTGTTTCTTCATTTAGAATGAAGAATGTACTTAACCTGTGAACAAATGTTTTAACTGAACCAACTACCCTGTTTTTCCTTTCTCGATAAGTCACTTCAAGACCTGCTTTGAAATGCTGAAAACTTGAATATAGATGTTTTATGATGTTACTTCACATTTGGCCTAAAAAATCTTTTTCTGTGTCATAAACACTTAATTGAATACAGAGCTCATCTGAGCAGCGACTTTGACTGGTGACAGCCTGCAGCTGCTTCCTGTCTGCCATGAGACTTCCCAGCCACACTCTTAACTGCTCCAGCTATTTAAACTGTAGTCGGTGTTTTATTTGCCATTACGTATTTATGTCACATTTACTTAACAGCGAAGACTGTTAGTGCCACAGGCAACTAGATGGGCAGACAGACTGATGGACCTTCTTATGGTCTGCTTCTGAGTTGCTGGGGGAGTGTGCATACCCACACATCCGGATGCCATGTATGGACAGTAATGAAGAGAGTACGCTATTTGTCAGCAGCGCTCAGAGTGGCTTCATACTCCACTCTAATTGCTCGATGGCGGTCTGCGTTGTCTTTATAGGACAGTAACTACTAATGCTCGCTTTGTTTGATGTGTGTGCATGTGTGTGTGTTAAAAATGTGCATGCATGTGTTACCTGCCTGTTTTAAGAGTCATTTCTCATGCACTGTCTGCCTTTTTGTTTGAGACAGCCTCTCACTGCCCCAAATCCCACAGGGATCATAGGTGTGTCCTGTTGTTCCAATGTGTTCGGTGGGTTCCGGGCTCTGAGCTCAGGTTGTTCCAATGTGTTTGGTGGGTTCTGGGCTCTGAGCTCAGGTTGTTCCAATGTGTTTGGTGGGTTCTGGGCTCCGAGCTCAGGTTGTCCCAATGTGTTTGTTGGGTTCCGGGCTCTGAGCTCAGGTGCTCATGTTTAGGGCTTGGATTCTTACTGACTGATGTATATTCTCAGCCTCTAAGGTACGTGTTCAACAAACCCAACATAGCACCCACCTTAAAGGAAAATGTTTATGAATGTGCTCACATCTATATCATTACATTATCTTTTTTCTTCTTTGTATTATATTTATTTATGGGAGGCAGCAAATATACCAAAGCTCATGTGTGGAGGCCAGAAAATTTTTTTCAGGACTCAGTTCTTTGTTTCCACCATGTGTTTCCCAGGGATCGCCAGGCTTGGTGACAAGCATCTTTACCCTCTTAGCCCTCTTTCTGGCCCCTATATTGTCTTTTGAAAGTTTATTTCAATTCTGTAATTAGTAGGTAAAGCCTATTTTTTATTTAAATGATTTTACTGTGTTTTGTCTCTAATAATAAAATCTAAATTTTGCTGGTTTTTTTTTTTTTAGAAGAACCTTTGAAACTATTATAATCAAGACTAAACCAAATTCCTCTCATACCCCCTTTTCACGGGAAGTTATTTGGAAGGGCCATCTTCACTGGGCAGCTACAGCTGTGTGAGCTATAGGCCAGGGGAGTACTCAGGCGTGTGTCCTGTTGTGTGTCCCGACCCCCCCTCCCCCGCCTGGGCCTGCAATGAGCACTGACTCTGGGCCTCTCTTGTCAAGGGTCCCACAGTAAGAATCTCTGTACCTTCAGAAGCTCTTTTTGACTCCTGGGACTTTGCCCTCTTTGCTGTGGGGGAAGCATTCACAATGCTTTCCTTTGTTCAGTCTTTCCCAGAAGTTCCAAACACTTAGATGTTTGACCAGAGTGTAGTGTTCTTAGAGGAAATGGGAAGAGGGTGTCTAACAGCTAGGGGATACTCACAGTTCAGATGATAGGAAGTGGGGTGTCTAACAGCTGGGGGACGCTCACAGTTCAGATGATAGGAAGTGGGGTGTCTAACAGCTGGGGGACGCTCACAGTTCAGATGATAGGAAGTGGGGTGTCTAACAGCTGGGGGACGCTCACAGTTCAGTTGCTGTGTCACAGCTTCCAGAGCCCCCATGTTTTCTGAAGCTGCCAGAGGAACCTGGACTCTGAGCTTTGACATTTAGATGCTGCCCGAGAACAGTTGTCATACATTATCGTGAGGTACATTACATGTCCCACTGTGACTGTGTACTCTGCTCTTTTCTGTCTAGGTCGAACTGGAAGGTACACCCTTATAGAAAAATGGAGAGACACTGAGAGACACTTGGCACCACACGAAAACCCCATCATATCCTTAAACAAGTGGGGGCAGTATGCTAGTGACGTACAGCTCATTTTGCGACGGACTGGGCCGTCTCTCAGCGAGCGGCCCACCTCAGACAGCGTGGCCCGGATCCCTGAAAGAACTTTGTACCGACAGAGCCTGCCCCCCTTAGCCAAACTGCGGCCTCAGGTGGACAAGTCGATGAAAAGGAGGGAGCCTAAAAGAAAATCTCTGACCTTCACAGGAGGCGCCAAAGGGCTGATGGACATTTTTGGAAAAGGTAAAGAAGCTGAGTTTAGGCAGAAAGTGTTGAGTAATTGCAGGTCCACAGCAGAAGAGCTAAGGAGGCTGATCCGGCTCCAGACAGATAAGCTGCTGGCCATCGAGCAGCAGCTGGAGTCCAGTGAGACAGAGATACGGTTCTGGGAGCAGAAGTACAATTCCAGTCTGGAAGAGGAAATTGTCCGCCTCGAGCAAAAGATCAAAAGGAATGATGTAGAGATCGAGGAGGAGGAGTTTTGGGAAAATGAACTACAGATCGAACAAGAAAATGAGAAGCAGCTGCAGGACCAGCTGGATGAGATCCGGCAGAAAGTCACGGACTGCGACAGCAAGCTGAAGGACTACCTGGCGCAGATCCAGAAGATGGAAAGTGGTCTTGAAGCAGAGAAGCTACACCTGGAAGTTGAGGAGGCGCAGGTCAACGAGGAGGAGATGAAGGGGAAGATTGAAAAGGTCAGGGGGGAGATGGACCTCCAGGGGCAGCAGAGCCTGCGGCTGGAGAACGGCATCAGAGCGGTGGAGAGGTCTCTGGGGCAGGCCACCAAGCGGCTACAGGTAAGGAAGGGCCCCTGTCTCAGTGCGCAGGACACCTCATCCGTGTAAGGTGGTTCTGTAGCTCGGGCCTGTCTGTCGTAGCCTTAGGAACCTTAGACGGAGAATTTCATGATAATCTTGCTTTCCTCATGTTATAAAATAGATATTACTAGATTCAACTCCAGCATCTTATCAAAACTAAGAACGCTAACTCTTGTGAACCGAACTAATTTTCAATAGGTTATAAAGTATGTAAGAGGGAAATTTGTGACCAGGTGAGCAAGATTGTAGTAGTGCTAAGATGTATATTAAACTAGTGATTTTTGATGACAGATTAAGAACATACATTTATTTTTATGAGTATGTGTCGACATCCAGCAGGGAACCCTCACGTAAGCCAAGTGTGTCAAATGAGTCCTGACAGTGGCCCCATCTGCCACCCCCTCCTCTATAGCAGGCTTTGTCCCACAGACCACTTACAGCATGGCTGGTGTTTTCCAACCAGGACAAGGAACAGGAACTGGAGCAGTTGACCAAAGAGCTGCGACAAGTCAACCTCCAGCAGTTCATCCAGCAGACGGGGACAAAGGTCACCGTGCTGCCAGCTGAGCCCACTGAAATAGAGGCCTCCCAGGCAGACATAGAAACAGGTAAGGCCTTCCTTTATTCTCCTTGGTAAGTCACCTAAAATGACAGCCATCAAATGGGTAGCATTTGGGAAATCTGTTTTCTTGGATGGTCACATTTTTTTTTAAAACTGCTTCTTTACAGACATGTTTGCCAAACTATAAATATGAATATGGCTATGTTAACTGCATCCTGGCAATTCTCCTAATTAATTCTCCTGATTCCCGCTCCCTTCCAAGTCTTTGCTGTTTATCTGTCCTGGAGTTGAAACTTCTCCTGTATGTACTGTTCCCTCAGCAACTGGGAGGAAGCAACAGGGCAAAGCCCTCTGGTCTTTGGGAACTGGTTCATAGCCACAGCTCTTGTCTTCTTCTTCCTTGATCTTTGGGGTGGGAATTTAACGAGTTTTCTGGTTATCTGGTTCACCAGACCACTGTCCATTTCCTGTTTAGAGACACCATTCCAGTCTGGGTCCCTGAAGCGACCTGGCTCATCGAGGCAGCTCCCCAGTAATCTTCGTATTCTGCAGAACCCCATCTCCTCTGGATTTAATCCTGAAGGCATCTATGTATGACACTGTCTTCAGGAGAAGGATCCAGCCAAGGTACCAAGGACAGTAAATCCTTCAGTTTGTGCCAACTGAACAGGGTCTGTTCCCAAGCCACTGTGTCCTCTCCCGATCACAAACCACGTGGAGCCCTGTGCACTGATGCTGAACACGGAGCCTGTTCACACTTCGCAGTATTGACATGTTGTCCAGCAGCTGAAATGCAAAGCCTTCGTTTTTATTTGTAGCATTCAGAGAGCATTAGAAAAGTATTAATCTATGTTTATACACGAATAAACCCTGCATTGAGAGTAAAGTTATGTAACTGTTTAGTTAATTTATTCCATGTAACTGATTGATGAATGAATGTTGCTGTTAATATTTTATTAGTCCTCATCCTGTGACTTACCTGTGTTAAATATTGTGGGTTCTGACTGTGCATGTTGGCAGACTCCGTCCAGCTTTGCTCATGTACAGCTACACAGCCTCCTGAGGGCTTCACTCCAGACCGACTCCAATGGAGCTCGACGCACTTAACACTGGCGCCTCTCCCCGCCCCTCCTAGGCGAGATAATTCAGCTTTCTGGTCTGGAAGTTAATAATTTCTTTACAGTATTTCCCAACATGAATTACCACAGCATCACAGAAATATCTTCAGTGGGGTAAATGGTTCATGTAAAATGCTTATGGTCATAGACTGCTGGCTGCGCAACTGGAGGCGGTCCTGGGTTTCCTGACACACTCTGAGGCCTTCCTGCCTCAGCACCACCTCCGCCTCCCGTGGATCCTCGTGGTGACAGAATGTGAGAAGGAGGGATCCCCGAGGATGGCGTTGCTGTACTTTGGGAATGGTATGATGGATTTCAGAACAACCCACTTCTGTGTAGTCCATGCATGCATAGCGGGGGAGGTGCTGCTTGCCATGATTTAAAACATGGGCTGTGTGTTTTCTCTAGTCACTGAGTCAAATGTAGAGAACACTGCAGTCAGGTATTTTTTTACCAAGGAAATAAAATTAAATTCAGAGTATGTTTTTATTTTTAAGTTTGACTTTATAGGATATTAGTCTCCATTTATATTTATATCATTTTGTGTATTAAGCCAAAAAAAAAGAGTCAATGCTTTTCTCATGAACAGTGACTTAGCTACATTCACAAGTGATTTTTAGACGTGCTGTCAGACGCCTTGCAGCCCTCTGCTTTTTCTCTGAGTACATTTGGCACAGTGTAACTAAGACTTTAATCTGAAACTTAAAGTAGTTTTCAATTCTAAAGAGAAAACATTCTCTGTGTTACTTACATGCAATAAAATAAAAGCGGATTGATACAGCAATGCCATGGTAACACCGAAGGCAACTCTGGGTGGTTGGCCACACCCAGCTTGCTTTTAAGTTAATGAATGTTTAATGGAGCTGAGAATGCTGCTGGATTTAGGTTTCCAAGGAGAAGATTTAGTAGATGCTTCTCAAGAACTGAAAGCCATGAATGTTGCCTCTTACCCACATAAATAAATAGCAGACCTCAGCTGAACCGCTGTCCATGGGTCCTCTGACTTACCAAACTGATCTTGCCATCACTGCTTTGCAGTTGACCTGAGAGGGAACCATGGCCTGCACACACTTGCCCCAGACTGGTAACAATTGTTTCATATCTATGTGTATTTAAAAATAGTAATTTGATGTCAAAGTAACCTATAGCTTTTTGTGACAGTGGTGACTCCATGTGCCCAGTACATGCCTTTCTCTCAGTCTCTCCTACACAGAGTCATTCTGTTGTTCGGCTAAATTAACCCTTGATCACAAAGGAGAACATTATACAAATGGATTGTCTTCTATTTAAACCACAGTGTTAACTGCAAGTATGTTAGGCTCTATGGTGAGAAATTAAAGACAAAGCTGGACATGGTGGCTCATGACTATGATCCCAGCACTCAGGAGACTGAGGCAGCAGAGTTACATAAGATCCTGGCTCTTCTAAGTTACATGGAAGTTCTAGAGTAAAAGGGGCTAGAGTGCGAGACCCTGCCTCAAAAACGAAAGAACAGGACCTGCACGGATCCCTGGCAGAGCATCACATCGCACAGCTCACACGGTTGTTAGGAACTGCCAGGTTTGACTAGAAACTCTAAAGCAGGCGACACACGCCACCAGCTCTCCGCAGTCCTGGCTCTCCACCAGTGTCACACTTAACATCCCTAACAACCTCAGAACTCTGAAGCTGCCGGCTACCCTCCTAATTACTCACACAAGCACGGCCTCCCAGATGGGCGGGGTGCGGCCATGTGATTTCACAAACAGGCTCTGCAGTTGTCTTTGTCACCAGTTAAGGGACTTCTGCAAGCACACCACTGCTGAATGTTTTCTAAATATATATATATATATATATATATATATATATATATTTTTTTTTTTTTTAGGGAAAACAACTAATTTCTGTAGGAACATCTGAAAATATTTAGTCTACTGTGACTGTTTTTACCTATTATGACTACAAATGAATTGGTTTACAAGCCCCGTCTTTCGCCACATCTCAGCAGAGAGGTGCAGGCAATGGGATTCAAAAAATACCAAATGGGGGATAAGTATCCAGGTTCTAAATAATAAATTAGGTCACAAATTTTTGTGTCTTTTTAACTAGTACTGAAGTTATATTATGCGGTTTTTCTACAGGTATTAAATATATTACAAGTTTTATTCTTACCAATGAATAATTTGAATATCATTGGCCTGTCTGACCTCTAGGTCATCATCATTCTCAGAGACTCACCCACAGCGGGTTACCTCAGTGGTGTGTGTGTGTGTGTGTGTGTGTGTGTGTGTGTGTGTGTTTTATTTTCTCACTTCCTTTATATTTTGGCTGTTAACGTCCCTTTTTTGTCTCCGTGAACAGGAAAGTTTTTATGTGAGGCTTCAGTTGGTGTTGAAGTTGCCCTCTGAAGGCCCAGTTAGTTATTGAGGGGCAGCTCAGTAGCTCCTCTAGTTGAAATCAGGTTGCACCCCGGCATGTACAGTAAAGACACAGCTCATGTATGACATGTGGAGTGTGGTGGCACAGACAGACAGATCAGCACTGCTCCCACAGCCATGCCCTGTGTAACACATCGTTTGTAAGGGCAGAGTGGTCCTTGGAGACAAGAACTCTTGTATCAGGGAATACCTTTCCAAGTTAGGAGGACTTCAACAGATTGAGGAAATAATATGGAAAAAGACAAGGACAAGCACCTGACTTCAGGCATGCACAGAGACAGACAGTGTTGGACATTGCCTTCGACAGATTAGGCGCATATATGTATTAAATGATGCTCTGTATCCCTCTGTAATACAAGCCTGTCTTGATTAGTCCATACCACACTGTGGTGATGCTACCTTAGAAGTATTCCTTTTGTATCATGTCAGTGTTTTTAAGTTGCGTGTTCGTACTGTCTTATAGTGATATCCACCTCCATACCTGTAACACTGACCACGTCCAAAAGGCGTGTTCCAGGAGAAGGCTGTCAGCTGTGTCAAGAATTCATGGCCATCAGTATTTATTTAGTATTGCTGCTTCACGTTTCCCTAGTGCACCTTGAACGCCAGGTCAGTGGCTGCATCAAAGCTGTGGGAGATCTTTCACGTGCATTTTTTTAAAATATATTTTTAGAAACCAAATGGCTGCAGATGGCTATTTAGCATACTGTTAAACCAGCAGAACTCTAAAGGCAATAAATGTATGCATATGTGTTGGGGGGTGGGGAGAGTGAAAATACAGGTTTACAGCCAGACAGGGTGATAGCCCTTCAGTGCATTTCTCAGTGTCTCATCACTGACCAAGAAGGATTTGAGTTGCTGCAGCTTTAGACAGAAAGTGTCCATGTTCACTGACTGTGGGCCATAAATATGCTTTTAGTATCGCTTTGCTGATGTATAAATAAGAAATCTGTAATATGTATTATATGTAATTATTTTCTTTTGACTTCATTTCAAAATGTATATTTTCTGATTATTATCATGAGCTATAAAGCGAAAGATCAATATCTGATATTCTCCCAAATAATAAATTTTCAAGACTCATTGGGGCAGTACAATTGTTGTTTTCTTTCTTATAACACTTAATACTTCAAGATATAATTTTGTTTCCTTTGAAAGATGGCAAAGAAAGTAGGTCTGTGTATCAGTGATTTAAAAATGACATTGTTTTCTAAATGCAGTTGTTAACATGAAGAATTATGTATTGCTCAGAAGGTAGCAACTAGGCTGGGGAGATGCCTCATAGGAAAAGTGCATGCTGCACAACATGAGAGAGACCTGAGTTCAGCTCCCCAGCACCCATGTGACACGTGGCACATACCAGTGCTCAGTGCTAAGGATCAAAGACAAGTGGACCACTGGGCTCATTAGCCAGCCAACCACGCTGAAACAGGAAGTTCCAAGTTCAGTGGGCGACCCTTGGCACACCTAAGATGGTGATTGAGAATAGTACCTGCAGTTGACCTCTGACCTCCCCACAGAAGCGTGCACCTGCACATGGATGTGCACATGTGCACACACTGCACTCACACACCCACACACACCCACACACACCCCACAATAAATAAGAAAAAGTAGCTGTTTCATTAGAGTAGAACTTATAAGAAACTAATGCACCCCCCCGCCCCACTTATTTCAAACATGAAAATTAGAAACTTGCCAGCTTGTATTCCTAGATCTCTTAAAAGCTGTGTGAGACAGCTTTAATATGTGAACATGAACTCTGCAGTACCTGGTGGGGGGAGGGAGAGTGCAGTGCAGCCTGAGTAAAAACTCCTGTCATAGTCAGCCCAGGAACTACTGTGAATAAGCAGCTGCTCCCCTTGAAATTCAGATCTTCCAGCACCCAGAGCACTTTCCTGTGTCCCTGGCAACATTGCTGGAGCTCACAGGACAGCATCTGATGTGCAATGTGTCCATCTTTGCAGGAATATTTTATAAGTAGAGGCTAAACCCAAGTTAAGGAAATGCGAGTGCATAATGCCAGAACGGTCACTGTAAACGCGACTCCTCCCTGGCTGCTTACGCTCTTCGTGCAGGGCACCTTAGGAGATGCCAGGAGAGTATTGAGTGGACTGAATCTGGCATGGCTTCCCCGCCTGGAGGAGAGCACTCTCTCACGACGTGACCAACTCACTCCACATGCTTACTTCAATTCAAGGGGTAAGGGGTAGACTAGACTGCCATGGAACCATGGTGGAAGGGCTTCCCCAGCAGCCCAAGCACCAAAGGACACCTGAGAAGGTGACAGGAAGCAGAAGGGCCTCTGGCACAGGCTGGGGCTAGATGGTGATGGGCAGAAGGGAATAGAGAGCAGACAGACATGGCCGTGAAAGGCCCTGGTTACCGCATAAGGAGTTTGGATATGGAATGCATTAGAGGTTCATATGTTACACTTTGTCCTGTTTTAGAAGATTGTAACACCTTTGGAACATAGGGCCTAGCTGGAAGAAACAGGTACTGGGGCCAGGCCTGGAGGGCACAGCACTACACCCACTGACTTCTGGCTTCTTGGTTCACTGGGATTGGAGCTGTCGTCTGCTTTATGCTCCGACCGCCACAGAGCCACCCACCACATGCTCTCTCCTCCATGACGAACTGCAGCCCCTCAAACTGTGAGCCTGGGCCTCAGTAAACCCTTCCTTAAGTAACAAGTGCAGGCTGCATCCTGGCTGTCATTGACACTTGGAGCATGGAAATGGCATGATCAGATTATTATGTAAGGAAGACACTTCTGGCTACCAATGTGGAGTCATGTAACAAGGCACCATGTAAGAAACCTAGAAGAACTGGCCAAAGGGGGGCCAGCTAAGGAAGGCGCCATGGAGGCTTACATATTAAAAGGGCTCTAGAGAACACCCATTTGGTACCAGAAATTCAGCAGAGGCTGGATGGAGCAACTCTCCTAAGCAAAGGCTCGTGGGCACTTCTCTGTGAGTGACGTGAGTGGGGCTTCAGACAGAAGGCTAGGCATATTCTTGAGTCTGTTTTAGGGATGGCAAAGTCACACATAAAGGCACTTGTCACCAAGCTGGACAACCTGCATTCAATCCCAGGAATCCACATGGTGGGAGGAGAGAACTGACTCTTTGGATTTCCACATGTGTGTCATGGCATGTGTCCTCTTGCTCCCATACAAAAGAAATGTAAGAGTAATTTTTAGGAAAGAAAACATGCTGTGTAGAAAGCAGTCTGTTGGCACCTAGTCATCCCAGTGTAGCACAGCAGTCCTACTGTGTGAGCATCATAGAAAGTCCCAGAACAATCCAGGCTATAGAGTGAGACCCTGCTTTGATATACATGGATGGGTGGATGATAGATTGATAGAAAGATAGATTGATAGATAGATAGATTGATAGATAGACAGATGATAGATGATAGACAGACAGATGATAGATAGATAGATAGATGATAGATAGATGATTGATAGATATGATAGACAGATGATAGATAGACAGATGATAGGTAGACATGATAGATAGACAGATAATAGATAGACAGATAGATGATTGATAGATGATAGATAGATAGACAGATGACAGATAGATGATAGTCAGACAGATAGATGGTAGACAGACAGATGATAGATAGATAAATGATAGATGATAGACATATAGATAGATAGATGATATATTAGATAGACAGACAGATGATAGATAGATGATAGATAGAGAGATGATAGACAGACAGACAGATAGATGGTAGATAGATGATAGACAGATGATAGATAGACAGACAGACAGATAGACAGATAGATAGATCAACCAGTTAGGTAGGTAGCTACATGATAGGTAGGTAATCTTAACTCTTCATTTAATAAAAGTAGAAACTGAGGCCCAGAGAAAATGTCAGATGGCTCTTATGAAACAGGTGCAATAAAGCAGCCAATTTAAAAAATTTAATTGTATGTATATAAGTGTTGTGCCTGCATGTATGTAGGCATGTGTGTGCCTGGTGCCCACAGACACCAGAGAGGGAACTAGATCCCCTAGAACAGGAATTAAGGATGGTTGTGAGCTGCCATGTGATTCTGGGAACTGAACCTGAGTCCTCTGGAAGAGCAGCCAGTGCTTCTGATGACAGGAAAAGAAGACTTGTTGGAAGGAGAGGGTGACAATGAATAATTTAAAATTTAATTAAAAAGTCTGTAAGAGTCTACAGACCCAGGTTCTCATGTCATCTCTGTTCCATAAGAGCTGCACAACACCACACTGGCAATAATTTTCTCTGGACTGTGGTTTCTACTTTTATTAAATGAAGTCAAGATTATTTATTTTTAAATTTATTTATTATTTATGAAAGGTTTCACTTTATAGTCCACTGTGGCCCATGCTGGCTTCAAACTCAGTCTTCCAAGTGCTAGGATTGCGGGTGCGTGCCTCCAGGCCAACTTATTTCTGTCCCTTCCAGACCTAGCACAAAATGGTTTTATACAGAAGACAAGCAGAAGATGAGGAAAACAAAAACCAAAACAAAAACATGAAGTTAAAGAACAGAGGCCTGGTAGATGTCGGTCCCCAAAGCTACAGACAAGCAGCAGCCGGGGAACAGAACAAACAGCTAGCCTGAAAGAAGAAGGGTATCTACCCCCACAGCACCCGCTGAGGAAGGGCTTCCGTCTGTGGCTGGATGGAGCATCCCCTAGTCTCTGCCATCACACCACCCTGCAGAATCACACGGTCAGGAAGCCGCCTGTCACTCCCAAAGGCCCAGCTTGCAAGCAGTGGGCACTATGCCCCAATGCTATACCAACCCCACTAACTTTCTAAAATGTACTCATGTCTTCCCTCCTCTGCTTCAGATTAGGTCCAACCATCATAAGCAAGTGGTATCCTCTGTCTTCTTCCATGCTTGGTCACAACCTGGCCATGAATTGCCTGTTCCTTTGACATCCATCATCCCCACAGGGCAGACACTAGGGTGGGCTTCACGCTGCTTTCCTTCCCGTTGCCAGGCACTGGTTATACGTGTGCCTCCAAGAGATGTACGTTGTATTAAAAGGCAGATGTTTGGGTACTGTCTGCTGCACATGAGAAAATGAGTCAGGTCAGACCACTTGAGCATGTGGTTCTCAGTGGTTCCACAGCACACTCCATGTCTCCTGGTGATAGCTTTGTTGGAAGAGGGTGCAAGGAGATGCAGCACAGAGACGAGCAGACGGGCCGGGCCCTTTGCACCCACATGCCTGGTACACTTCGTTTCCGGTATCCACTCACCTCACCTACTTGCAAGCAGTCTCCTGTCTACAGAAGGCCCGGCTTGGCGTGTGATCCCATGGCCTTGCTTCTTCACAGGGAGGACCGGGAGCCAGTGTATTCAAGCGTCTGACTTCTCTCCTTTTACCTACTTCTTATCTGACACAAATGTCAGACACAGCCACTCAGGTTGGAGATGGGTGAGTGTATTTCTCAGGAGACTCACTTCGTAACCAGCTCTCATTCCTAATCTGGGCTTCCATCTTTGGCCCAGATACATGGGAGATACAGTCTGCACCTCCAGCATAAATTAAGAAGAACAGATAATCTTGTCCAAATAAGTCTTCATTTCTTCTTCTCTTCCACATGACAGCATCGGTACAAACTGCCAGATGCTGGCTTAGTCCTTTGTGAGTTTCCTTATTTGTTTTGTTTACCACAACTCGGGGTATGTACACCCCCGATAGCCTCTCCTCAACCTGTCAACTGTAGAAGCTCCAGACTGCTGTCACACAGAGCGTGTGTAGAAAGAGCTGGGACTTGGTCTGTGTGAGGCTCTCAGGAGAGGCAGACAAGTCCCTTCTAGATCTTCAACCACTACAATAGAGTCTATTCAACAGAGCTGCTTTCTGAGACTTCGCACTGCAGGGTGTCGCTGCCTGGTCATCTGATGCCCTCTGCAGGAAGGGTCTGCTTTGGCTGTTTTGGATCCAGAGGTCCTCAAGGTTGTGTATTCTCTCGGTCTTCATGGAACCAACACTCCATCCTGTGGCTCTGAAAATAGTATCCGTATTTGTAGCCAACTCGGTGGGGCTGAAGTTATTCGAAAGATGCACTTGTGCCCTTGCT